ATGGAACAGTAAATTGGTCATTTTACACAGTGAGTAGGCAGAGAGCAGGCTAAGACTGGTCTGAGCCTGTGTGTGGGTGTTTGTACTGACCAAGAGATTATCCATTGCAAAATTTGGTGAGCATTTGCTGTGCATTTGAAAAGCTTTAAAGCACTATAATTTATACTTATTTTTACTAAGTGCTAGAGCTACTGTTCATTGTGTGCTACAAGGGCTGACTTTTACTCAATGTGCAGGTAGGTTGTAAAGTTTTACTCTGACGTAAACCCTGGGAGCAATTTGTACCCCTGTGGTACAGAAAGCATTATGTTGAGAAATTCAGGCATGCCAGATAAAATTATGGACTTACAGACCCAAATGAAGCCTGTGTTTCAGTGTTTAAGTGCCTGGATTCCCATTGAGCCCAGCCAGAGATCCATACACCTAAGCAAATATAAAGATATATTTGAAAGGCATCAATTGTGCTTTTAAAATGCAATTTTGATACAATGCCAACAGAAGATGTAAATAGCTGTAGATGCACAGCACTAGGATAAATCTTGGAAAGCTTTAGGGAATCCAAGAGCCATTTCAAAAGCTGAAAAATCTTTTAGTAAGAGATCACCACTGCTCTAGTTTCCATACTTTGCAGCATGTGATTGGCTTGTGTGGGATCTACCAATATAGTGAAGAAATAGAGAAATGTCACAATGGATTCTTTCATTTTGGTGATGAAGTGCTTGCTCTGCTTGCCAGCATGCAGGGTTCAATAAAAGCAGACAGGTCTTCAAAAAATAGCAGCATAAATAGATGAACTCTTTAAAGTAATATAAGTTCTGTCATCTGGATGTGAAATATAGACCTAAATGCCCACCGAAGTAAAAGCTGACCACACACTCCACAGAGAAGTGTTAAAAGTTTTCTCAGAGTGTTTTGGGCTGAGAAATGTTTTAACTACATCTCTCCTTGCCACAACACACAGAATGGAAGTATTTGAAGTTAAACCCATTTTTCAAAAGAAGAAAACAAAGCATCCATAAAGAAACAAAGGCATAGCACGGGATGAGGTCTCCAGACAGGCACTGCTTTCAGGGAAGCTGCAATTAGCTGTGCAATGGAGAAGGTGAATTTAGTTGTAGCTCAGTTGCATTTATAATGATTTCAGTAGCTAAAATGCTGATAAGTACGTGCAGGGGGTTGGTTTCAAGATTTCCTTGTGAGACACAAGGTCAGGATTCCTGTGGTCTCCTGTCATATTTAATTCATATCCTCTGGCCTTCCCCGCCATGTTTATTGAATTACAGAAATAAAATTCAATGAACCATAAACAAAAGAAGAGAGAGAGGACATGGCAAGTCCCGCTTTCTTTTATGTCCCTCCTGCACACCTGAGTTCAGTGGACTCATAGGAGAACATGTTGGAGCAGAATTTGGAAGGAGGGGGAGGTACAAGTTAGTAAAACCCCTCTCACCATCCCCATAATTGCATCCAGATAATTCATTGCAAGCAGTGGCCATTTCCACGTGGGAGTGAGGATCCAATTTCTACGAGTCAAGACTCTCCCCTGGTGCTTTTTAGGGCTGATCTGTGCATTCCCTGTGTGTGTTTGCCAGGTTCCTCCTGGTCACAAACGAGATGGCAGCAGAACAGCTTTACAAAACCATTCTTCAGAAGAGCATGCTGGCAATTCATCACTTCAGTGCTAAGAGGAAACCCTCAAATATGTTAAAAGTCCCAGCTGGAGGGAAGTGCCCTCTTGGCATGCTCGTAATGATGATTCCCTGCAATCATCTGAGTTAAACTGATAGAGCCTTTATCCTCCTTTACAGGTGGGATGCAGGAAGCTACAGGCCTGTGGAGCAATGAGGAGTAAGTCTGTGATTTTGGGGAGGATTTTATTGTGTCTCCTCTACTATTATCCTGTTTTCATTGCCCTGCATGCTGCCTCCAAGAACTGCCTGGTTTGGGCTGTGGATCCCTCAGTTAAATCCACACCCAACCCTGCATGGTGTTCAGAAGCCACAGAGGTAAAACAGAGCCACCCCCTTGGGATCACACCAATACCCTGACACCCAATAACAGCTTTACAACATTGTCATTTGGGTTTAGAGCCAGACATATGCAAATCTGGCTCCTGAGTCTGACTCAAAACATTCAGAAAAAAATAAGACAGAAGATGTTTTGAAACTCTATCCTATACTGCAAGCTCACCACTATTTAGCTTGGGCATTTTAATTTTTGGAAATGTCATGGCTAATAAATAATGTATTTTCTTTAAGCTACCATATACATTTTTATTTTACAACTTGCATTTTCTTAAATTTCCAAACATTAAGTGCTCTGCTCACGTACATGGCAGCCTATGAGATGGCTGCTTTTTCACTTAATACATTTAATAAAGGTGACCAGATGCTTTGTGTTTTTAATGGCTTGTTCTGCATCCCAACAAAATGTCCCTGTTTTGGCTGCGAGAGCAGATGATTCATCCTGAAACCCAGCCCAGCCGCCCTGACACAGGCAGGGTGAGTTAAAAACTCACCATCTGTGCTGGAGGAGTGGGCAGGAGGAGTGCTTTGTCAGGAAAACACTGTCCTTCCTTGGGCACTGCATATTCCAGGCAGCCAGTAATCCCAAAGTGCTGTGGGTCCAACCTCCCTGCCTTTGCAGATGAATTCTGCAGTTATATCCCATCTCCCACCATTTTCTCTCCCTTCCCCCCTTCCTGGGAACTCCTCAGACTGCTCTGCCCCAGGATCATGTGTAGATCAAACGTTGCTGTAAAATGTAAGATATTGCTGCTGGTTTTATTCTTTCCAATCATGTGGCAAAATTCCTGCCCGTGCGGCTGCCTCAGCCAAGCCTGATACTCGAAAAAGCAAGAGGGATTCATTTTTGGCTTTTGTGAATAATTATCTCTGCCCAGCTCTGTGTTAGCCCCACTGCACTGCCAGCTCTGCCAGAGGACACATCCCGAGCTCGGAACCGGCGCTCGCAGACTCGCCCAATTCAAGGGCAAAGCTCTACCCCCAGGCAAAGCTCCCCTGGTGCCTCAGCGAGAGCCAGGCAGCGATAGCTGAAGGGAAAGCTTGCAGTGTGTCATTGGGATAAGGCTCTTCCAGCCTGGCTGTGGCCCCACAGCCTTTTCCAGCTCCCTCCTCCCTGCCTGGAGCATCCCGGCAGGACAAAGCCCCGGGCTGGGAGGAAAAGGTCCCCGGCAACTTTTCTGCACAGCCTGTGTTCTGCAGCACTTGAAAGAACCATTGCAGCTCATCTGGCATGCACACGAATGACAAATATGCTTCAGAGGCAATAAATTAGCAATTTCAAGGCTTTACTTCCCCTCATGGACTAATTGCCAGAGATTATAGTATATTATGTGAGAGCAATGATACTAATGCCTAAATATGCTTCAGTGATTATAGAGCTATCCTCAATAACCAAGCTGTTTAAATGTCAATGTAAGAAAGCTCTTTATTATGAGATTAAATATTATTTTGAAGCGATGCAATAGGAACTTCCCAGGCTTTCTGCCTGCACTAATGCTGCCTTGGGGCAATGTATATTGGACAAGGTATGCTTTTTAAAAATGTGTACAGTAAAGGGTCCCTAAATGCTTTTGTGCTGCAAATTTGGACAGCATTCCTAATAAGAAGGAGGATATTTTTATTTTGTAGCTGTTACTAACATGCTGCTGCCTTCATCCTTCCTCCACTTGTGTATCCACTACTATATAGAGAAGATAAATTCTTGTTTTCTGTTTGTGGAGTTGGGAATCAAACCTCAAAGAGCTTTTCTTTTTTTTTTTTCCCCATCTCTAAGTACCATTATCTTGCACAGATGCTTTTGAGTCCAGCCCCTCACACCTAAATAAATCTGTTAATACCTGGCATTGAGACAAGTCCTGGAAATCAGTGGAAGCTGCAGCTTTCAGCTTCAGCTGCTGACATGAGGCAGAGGAAAAAAAAAAGTCTTTAAACCATAATTCCAGTTGCATAGCTCTGCAGATGCCAGTTGGGGATCACAAGCTCAGGTGTGGAATTAGAAGGAAGAGAGGCAAAGAAGTCTTTGGCATCCCACTAATCTCATACAGGACCTTCCCACTGTGCATGTGTCCCAGCCGTGCAGCCTGTCTCTTGATTTCTAGTAAAATTATTAATTATAAATCATAATTGTTATAACACTATAGAAAACATAGATAGGCCTGTGGGGACAGATAATGTAAAATGAAGGACAGAGAAAGTGAAGTTTGGTGGAATTTTCTCTTCAAGTTTTTTTTTTTTCCTTTAGGAAGTATTGTTCCTTCAACACAGCCTGCTCTTCTCCTCCATGGTGTGCTCCTCAAGGGGAGGAGCTTCATACACAGATACCCCAGGAACTGACAAGAATTCCATTCTGCCCAGCCTTAGCAGGATTGGACACCTGGATCCACGTCCCAATACTTCTGCTGCAGCCTGGCATTTGTTAACTCTGAATTTTTGATGTTTTCATCTTGGCTGGTTTCTTCAGCCATTTTATGTCTCACCTATAAAACTCAATGCTTGTTTACCTCAGAATGTCTGAAGCTCTTTCTGATGCTCAGGTAAAAGACACCTGCCACACAGGCTCAGAAAAGACATAAATTGCTCTATCATTTGTAACATTTTAAAATACCTTAATCTATTAAAATCACAGTGTGACTGACAAGGAACATGCTGAATGGCCATGAGAATTCTTTCTCTGCTCTTCCAGGCAGACAATAATCTGACACCTTTTTTGTTATGTCTTGACTTAGAATATACTATGGGAAACCATATCTTTAGCTTTATACCAGCAATAAACTTAGAGCAGTGATGTTAACTAAACAACCAGCAGCCACAGGCTGACACTGCTCAAAGGACAGCGATGTGGGCTTAGCCCAGAATGGGCTAAAACGACCCGAGTTTGGCTGCTTTGATGCAAATATTATTTCAAATCAGATTAAAAACCTCTTTTATTTTTGCAGCCACGTTATGAAAGCCCTCCCCACGCCCAGCCCCACTCACCATGAAGCCCGGGGCGCAGATGCAGCTGCCAGTGATGCTGTCACAGTCGGCCCCGTTGTGGCAGGGACAGGGCACCCGGCAGCCCTCGCCGTAGTAGCCCACGGGACACGTCTCGTTGCAGTAGAGCCCAGCCCAGCCAGCCTTGCAGCTGCACTCCCCCGACAGAGGATGGCAACTAATGAAGAGACAGATGTTAGTGAGATGTGGGCAGGAAGGAAAAGCACAGCCCAGGACATTTCACGTGTCACACTAAGAACAGGACGAGACTGGAAACTCTTGAGGGTGGTGGATATGAGCAGCTGTGTGATTTGGGAAGTGAATCAAGAATCTGCTGCTAAATAGACCAGCATTTCTAAACATCTGGGAACTGCCACAGCACTGGGCACTTTACACCTTGAAGTTTATGTTCTTCCATTCTCAAATCAATGTGACTTGGATTACTGACATCAACCACACCATTAATCCTTACCTTAGGACAGGTATGTGCTGCACTCTTTGGCTGTAATGCAGCCAGCTAAAGATGTTCAGGGATAGGAGGAATTCCAGTGGGTGGAGGAATGCAATCAAGAGAGCTGGGAAGATAAACCTGAGTTCAAGGGCACAGGATTCCTATTCCATTCCATCCCAGCCCATCCCACTGTCATTTGTGTTTTAAAAGTGAATGCCACCTCAGCAGAACTTTCCAGCAGGAACAGGTAGAAAGGAAAGTACTTTGAGAGGGAAAACTCCTTGGAAGAAAAGTTTTGCAGGAAATATTCAGCCATAGTGACCAGAACTGATCAGCACCTGAAGCCTTGGGATTTACTTGGGACAGGAGTTAACAGGAGCCCTGGGACTGTAACACAGCTGTGCAGGGAAATGAGTCAAGATCCTTTTTGCTGCATAATGAACAACATTAACCCTCTGGCTTTCATTTCTATTCAGTCAATTTGCTTTCATTTCTATTCAGTCAATTCCACACAGTTGTGAGAGCACATGGAGAAAAAAGGAGAAGGGAGAATAGAGCCCAAAATATTGGGCAATGCCTGGTCCTTCTGCACCCACAGGTGGAACACTCACCCCTCTGCTCCTCCTGCATGAAAGAGTTTATCTTTATTGGGCATTTTTCCTCCTTGAGGTTTCCTCAGGGCACCACCTTGCCACAGCAGGAGGCTGGAGCTGGGGCTGGGGCAGGAGGGGAAGGAAGGCTGGAGATGTGTAAAGTCCTGGTTTGAAGGGATGGAGGATTTTGGGGGATGTTGTCTGAGGCCAGCTGGGAATGTGAGGCTGCCCCTGAGAGCTCAGTGTGCTCTGAGGCCTCTGCACCACAGCACTGCACAGTAATGGCACTGCTCAGCCCTCAGTGAGAGACATGAGAAATAATATTGCCAGAAATCCTGTTTTCTTCATTCTCAGAACAGGAAGAATAGACTTCTGCAAGATGGGACTTCTCTCTCTGAGCCTGTCTCCTGCTTTTTTGCATCCCAGAAACAATTTCTTTTCCTTTATGATTATTTATTGCTACAGTTTAAGAATGTAGACATGACTGAATGAGTTTCTTTACACCTATAAAATTAATATTGTATATGTTAATTTTCAAGGTAACCTCATAAAATGTAATTTCCAACTATGTCTCAGGCAATTTCTGGTAGGAGAGGTTGGTCATATAGTGTTGCAACTAAAAAGGATCAAATTTTCTCAGTGTCAAATGTTTCATCATAAATAGTGTTTTACTGACTAATTAAAACAATTCATCAGCATAACAAACTACCATCCATAACAAAGCAGTCCCTGAAATTATGGTTTTCACAAAGCACCTCTTAACATTCATATGAAAATAAAAAAAGCTCGGGTTCCCCCCGTGTCTATTAATCATTACCTAACAGGGACAGAAAGCTCAACATTAAAGATTTTGAAACGAATTTTGTGTTTCTCTCTTACCACTACTACTACATGTATCATGTCCTTCCATGAGAACTGCATCTGGTGGGTAAATTAAATATTTCAAAGGTAGTATATGACCAGTGAATCATTCTATGACAATTCAGCAGAAAATACTACACTCACTCAGAATTTTTACTCCAAGGTTGGCTCCTTCATCAGCATGGGCAGCTTTTTTGCATGGGACACAAGCTCTGTATTAAGGGCTAAAACTCATCCTGACATGCATTAAAACAAGAATCAAAACCAAACAGGCTTTCTAGAAGAATCTACTGGACACAGGGAACTTGGACTCCAAAACAAAGGCCAGTAGAAGTTTGAGGGCCCCACCAAAGCCTTGTCCACACTCCATGGGGCTGTGAGCCAGGAAAATCCCATGCAGATGTTTGGGTCTCTCCATCCATTTAATCTTCCCATTGAAGAAAGGAGAATTTTGTCATCAGCCTGAGCAGATCAGGGTTTTGTTTTTCTCCCATCTCCAAAGCACTTGTTTGACAATCCAGGTGTCTGATGCAGTGTTAACTTGAGGAGGGCTGAAATTTAGATGCTTTCCCAAACTGCACAAGGCAGCTGTTCTCTTCCCAATCCTGCCAGGGAATCTTGGCCACCTTACTGACTCTTCTTCTTTTTTCACATTTCTAAAATGATCCCTTTCTTCCTTTGGAAACCCTTTCAAGATCTGCATCTGATATCACTAAGTAATATAAAGTTTTTATATTAATTCTTTTTTCTCTCTGGTTTGTATGAACTATTCCACTAAATAAAGTGAGCATACTAAATATATTGCAGCTCATGAGAGAGGAATAGTGGCTGTGTGGCTGTGTGTGTGTGTGTTTGTGTGTTTTTTTTTGTGTTTGTGTTTTTTTTAGGCAGGTTTTTGTTCTGTTGTGTTTTTGTATACCGACCTTCTGGTGGAATTTTGTCTCTCGCTCCTGCACAGATCCATGCATTTCGTCTGTTCCGTGTCTTAACTTCTATTTGTTGCGACTTTTCAGTGAGTTTAATGCTTTTTTCTGAAATGTTTCTGGCAGTTTGTATCTTTGTTTGTATATTTCGTTGTCTCTTTTTCTGAGTGTCTGTTTCCTTGCTCTTTTTCTGTTTTGCGTTTTGCTTGCCGGGGTCTGTGTGCATGTGAGGTTTTTCTCGCGGGGGTCATAGTGTGTGTTTGGTGTTTCTCCAGCCTTCTTTTGCCTGAGGTTCATTGTCGGATGGGTTTCTTCTGGGGGGGTTTCACTGGGGTCTGGGTGGCGAATGGGCGGGTTTCTGTTTTCTCGCCCTTGCTGGGCGCCGCACGTGTGTTTTCCAGTCTTTGATGGGTTTGGCATTGTTATCTTTCATTGTTTGCATTGTTTGTTATTGTTTTTTTTTTTTTTTTGTCTTGTGTCTTTCCGGCTTTTGTTTCTTCGACTGTCGTGGTTCTCAGGGGGAGGCAGGTTCTCCTGTGGGTGTGGGCCCAGGCGGGGTGGTGCTGCTGTGTCTCCAGGCCCATCAGGGGTGGCAGGGAGCTGTTTCCACGGCTCTTGGTGCTGTTTGGGGGCTAGTTTCCAGTCTCTTGCTTTTGTTTGACGTTTACTGTACTATCCGTTTTATTTGAGCCACTTTTGTTGTCTTAGCTGATTTGTTTAAAGGCATTTTTTTCGTTTAACTTTTTTGTGTATCTGCTTTTTTGGCCTTTTGATTTTTTCAGGTTCTTTTTTTGAGGCAATTTGGGAGTGCTTTGTACATTTCTGTCTGTTCCTTATTCTTGCTTTGTTCTGCACCGTTTTTTCCGCCTTCTGAATTTGTTCTCCGTGCATTTTTTGGTTTTCTGTTTATCTTGCCGGTGCATTTCTTTCTTTTTTGTTTTTAGCGGCGTACTAGTTATTTTCTTTTTTCTGTTGGCCGCCTCATATTTATTTTCTGTTTTTTGGTTGCCTCTTGCTTTCTAGTCTTGGTTACTGTGATGCTTCTTGGTTCCTTGCGTTGTGTCCAGTGCGTTTTTGGGTCTCCTTCAGTCCTGTTTTGCTGGTTGTTGTGTGGGGTTTGGTTCTCCTTTGCTTGCTGGTGTTTGGGGTTTGGTTGGAGCCTCTGCAGATCTGCCCACTCCATTTGACTTTGTCTTGGTGGCTTCCTTCTTTCTCACATCTCTGAGCTGGGAATGACATTACCAAGGGCACATGGCTCCCCAGGCTGGCTCCACACCAGTGCTTAGGAAGGGGGGGTGGCCAGGACTATTCCAGCTGCTCATTTCCCTCCCTGACAGAAGAACAAACCAGGATTTTTCCTTTCCAGCCATTGTAGGCTGTCTCAACATGGATTTTTTGCAGAGGGAAGTTTTTACAGGTGTACCCTTTCCTGTGGAAGGACAGTCCAAGTCACCACCACATTCTAAATCACCTAATTGTGGGGCTGTTCAAAGTCCTGCACAAAGTGCCTTTCAGTGTGCTTTGATGCAGAAATTATTGGATGGTGTCCTTCAGTCATTACCATGCTGGAGGTTAGACTAGATGATCACTCTGATCTCTTCAGACATTAAAATAGATAGATCTATGAAAATGGAAAAGCTGATTGTGTATTTCCTACAGTTCCTCCTCAGCTACTCCTCAAAGCCCTCAGAACTTTCCATTCCAGTCAACTCTCCAATAACTAGATCAAATGAGACAAATCCAGGGACAGGAGTTTCCTTCACCTTCTTCAAGTGTTTAATAATTATCCTCCACACTTGGGGATCACAAGAAGCCAACAGCTTAAACTGCTCTTGGGGAAAATAGATGGCTGTGGGAAAATGAGTCACTTTGGAAGAGCCCAGTTTGAGTACAGACAAACACTCAGGGAGGAATGGGAAGAGGTGGGTGGGAAGAGAAGTGCACTGTATGGGACTGGTTAAACAATGAGCACAAAGATTTGTTCAGAATACAGAGTGCCTTTGGAAAAGGTCATTTTCCATCAGCTCTGACGCTCCTTGGCTCAGCAATTGACAGCACACTGCAGAGCTGGTGGAAAAGTGGAGAGCTGAAATTCCATGGAAGAATGAAAGAACGTTTACTGGTCTACAGCTTGCTGGTATCTCTTTGTTCCATAACAGCAGTGATAAGATGTAGGAAAAAGGGAGATTTTATCAACAGAGAGACCAGACTCATTTATTAAGGAACCTGAGATACCATCTCAGCAGAGGATGCTGCAAGGGACGCTGACAGAGCAGTGTTGGGAGGGAAGGAATAAAATGTTCCAATAGGACAGCAACCAGGAACAGGCAGGGTGTGTAGGAATGACCACATGCCCAGAAAAGAGCTGGGAGAGGATTCAATCCTCCCCCTTTCTGAGCTCTCTCAAACCTCTCTGAGACCTCTTCTTTTCTCACAGCTGGAAGGTAGAAGCCTGTTCTTTCAGGAAAGATCATCTGGCAAACTCTCAGAGCACCTCCCAGGTAGTTCTGAGTAACACAGGGTGAATTCTTTCACTCTCCACCCCACAGTCTTACCCCACCTAAAAGACTCAATGAATTGAGCACATAGCTGAGAAACTGCAGCCAAGCTCAGCCTTGCCTGTGGCCTGCAGTCCTTCCACTCCAGTTCTACCTTTATGGAAACAGAGAGGTTTCTGCAGGCTCAGGAGGGGTGAAGACACAAGTGTCAGCTGCTGACCCAGAGCATAATCTCACCCTCCTGTACACCTGAAGAACATTTTACACTGAGGAGCAATTCAGCTTGGATTTACTACAGTGATATGACATGTAGGAATTTCTCCCTCAGCTCACTCTGCAGTAATTCCTGAGGCATCTCCCATCCTCAGTACAACACAGCACTAACCTTTCGTGCATCATGTGCAGCTCATGCCTCAGGGATGGTATTTTTGCACTGATTTCATCATATACAACATAATCAGAAGCGATGGGAGACCCTTGTACAGAGCTCCCTGGGAGCCTCAAACCCTTTGGATCCTGGCTCTCAAACCCAGTTGAGCTGGAGCTCTCTTGCTGCACAGGAGTTGTATCACCACAATTACAAGTTTTTAAACAACCCATTGTGAGCTCTGCCTTTCAGTTAAGCAAAGCCTCACCACTCACAGCTGAATTCACACGGAAAATCACCTGTTTATTTGCAAGACTGAGACAAATAGGGTCTATCTCAAGTGCACAGACAGATTTGCCTGAAGTGTTTATGTGTGTGTGTGTGTCTGTGTGTGCACACAAATGAGGTGCCATTTCTTGCATACATAATGGAGTGTGTTTATATTTTAGCAGCAGCAAGATGGCAAGGTGTGTTTGTGAGCATCAGCAGGACAGTCAGGTCCTCACCTGTCTGCTTCCAAATTGAAGAATGTCTGTATCAAAGGCATTTTTGTTTGGGCATCAATTATCTCCTCCTGCCCCTGAAGCCTCCACAACCCTAAATTGGCTCTGCCTGCTGAACGGGAATGGGCAGAAAAAGGAGAGAATGCAGAGGGAGCTGAGGGGTTCAGAATTGTGCAGGTGAGGAAATGTGGCTCCAGAACATCAGCTCAGGCCAGGGGAATTTGGCTGTCCAGGCTCCCTTTGCTGCCAGACAGGGAGTGAGGATTCACCAAACAGCAATTCCAGCACTCAGTAAACAAAGCAAGGAGTTACTTAAGGTAACAAAGTGGATAATAGGGAAGAGTCTTAAATTCTTCCTTCTTTTCAAGGTTTGGAAAACTTATTCAAGCCTGCAATTGGAAAGCAAATTCAAAGTGCTCAAGTCTGTTTGTGGCTCTGTCTCATGGTAAAGAGAACCTCAAGAATCAGATCTTTAAAAAAGCAAAAAAGGGAATAAAACATCAAATCCTGACCTTTTAAGTGAGGCTCATTCCATTGTAGGTATAATTCCCTGATATTTATTTTCCTGAATATTTTCCTCATACACAAAGAGAGAATGAAGAGCAAAAATAGGCTCACACGAGGAGTCTATTTTGACAATGTCAACCATGTTACAGTTCCACAGACTGACTCAGGATTATTGATTTCAGTCTATTTATACATCTGCCTCAAGTGTTTCCAACAAGGTAATTTGCCATGAGACATCAGCTGAAGCAAATTAGGTTTCATGTTGAAAGTCCCCTTGCTGTCTATAGATCTAACAAGCAAACCTGTGTCATAAAAGAGACAGAAAGTGATGGATTTGAGCAAATATGTATCTATTTTTTAAACTTCAGTGGGTTATTATCCATACATATGAGCATCATCTGGTGGTTCTTATGCCTAGAAGATTCCCAGGATAAAGCTGTATGTCAGGCTGTTTCAGGTGGAACCACAAGTGTTAACAGATACATGCTTAGTACCTGGCTGGACCGAGGCTTATGGTTCCAAACCTGAGGTCATTTAAATCCGAATTTTGCAAACTTTCTGTGTTTATACTTAAAACTACACAGAAAAGGACAGTAGCTGTAGCTAACTGATATTTTTCCCCCAATGCTTTAATTGGAACAATCCCTGCACTAGAATATCACAGGATGCACATACCTGAGGGTGTTGGTAATATTGCAAGGGCATCTCTTGTTGCATTTGAGGCCATAAAAGCCTTCAGGGCACATCCTTTCCTGGCACTGGATGCCTTTGAAGCCGGGCTCACAGATGCAGGCTCCGGTGACGTGGTAGCACTTGGCGCCGTTCTGGCAGTCACAGCTCTGCGTGCACTGGAAGCCGTAGGTGCCGATGGGACACTCCTCCTGACACCTGCCAGGGGTGGGGACAGGGATCCAGTCACAGCCACACCTCAGCAGGACATGGCTCTTACACACGAAGCTTCTTGTTAATGAATGAAATGCAAAACAGAGCAATCGTTGCTCATTTACTGAGCTAATGGTATCGCTGGAGTGATGGGATATCTTGGGCGTGCAAATTGCTGCTAAGAGAAACTGCATTCATCCGTGCCCAATTATGTCCTGCTAAATTTGCATTAGTTCATTTTACCTTCATTCACAAAATGCATTCTTCTTTCCTGGACCTTGACAATTGTGTTGATCAACATAAGAAACTGATAGGCAATAAATTATTTTATTATAAAACTCCTCATCTGTTTGACTTCTTTTTGTCACAGGAGGACTGTGTACCTCCTTTGAAAGCATATGGTCCTCTCAGTGATGAGGAGGGTAAAAAGGGAAAGTGTATTTAGCAATATTGAGCAAAATCTTCTCCAGCAATGTTTTAGTTTTACTTGTCCTCTTTGCTGTCATTGCACCAGTTTTATAATAATAAGGAGAAAAGAAACTCCTCTGTGTTTTGTGTGTGTTCTGAGTAACTGAAAGCTTAAATTTGCTTTTCTTCTCCTACTCCAGGGTAGCTCAGTAGTACAAAACCTCAATAAAAATCACTTTCATGCTCCTTAGTGGAGAATCTTCTTAAAAATTGCCAACATTTTTAATATTTGATGCACATAAAATTGGAACCTCCAAACACTTTACACAGATTGTTTTAAATTGCACCTTCCATGCACTGTTAAAAATATCTCCCTACTTGGATATGTTCTGAGATCTGCCAAAAAGTCTGTTTCCTTGTCCTACACAACCAATTTAAGAGTTCAGATTATTTCCTACTTGCAAAAGCTCAGCTAGGGTCCTGAAGAAAGCAGCTGATTTTGTGCTTGACATAATTCAGTGGTTTCAAAATTCTGCAATGAGTCAGTACCACAGTTTACATGATCCACCGTGAAATACAGATAGGCCTTTTCAGTTAATAAAAACAGAAAAAGAAGCCCAGAAAAGCCCAATTCCCTTATCACATGGATACCAGACATTGGAAATTGCCTATCAGCATTAATTTAAGCCTGAGCATTGATTAAAGTGTATACTGTAAACTCAGTGGATGGAGGCAATTGTTAAATGTCTTTCTGCAGGTCATTTCACAGCTGGCAGGTGAGAGTTAATATAATGATCAGTAATAAAAGATTAATGTGTGATGCAAGCCAGGCAAAAGTGCAATGAACACAGGCAGTATATAAGAAGGGCATTACTTTTGCAGCTTCAGATTATCACGTTTTACTAAAAATAAATGAACACAGCAAAGGGCCTGGCTGGTGATTTAATTCCAGCAGTTGCTGGTTGCAAATCTGAGTTGAGGAGTTCATACAAGACCCAAAGTGAGAGGAGTCTGGGACAAAGAAGGAAAGAGTCTGGAGAGACACCAGAGAGAGAGAGAGCCCTGCTGCTCTCAGGGGGTTCAGCTGCAAAGGAAAGAGCCAGCAAAGAATGGGAACAGTGGGGCTGGAACACTCCAAGCAAATGAAATGCAAGGAGGAACAATGAAGCTCCTCATGTCCCCACTGCTGCACAGACCCTGAGTGAGCAGGAGAGCTCTGAGCTCCACGGGGTGAATTCTTAGTCAATAGTGCACTGTATCATTCTATATTTATAGAAGATGAAGCATTACCTAGCAGGGAGAAAAGCATCTGGAAATGAAATATTGACGACCTAATCCATTTACATAATTAGCCTTTTTCTACTAACAATTTAACCAACTTATTTATTTGGAGATCAAGCAGCTACTGCTAATGAATTTTATACAAAGAATACTAATAATGACTCCTCTGGAACATGAGAATAATCACAGCAGGAATTAGCTTTCTACTTAAACATCTTTCCTTTGCAACATATCAATCTAATGTGTCCATAGCACCATTAACAACCAGATACATTGTTCAATTAAATTACAAAATGAGCTGCTAAGCCCTAGTTATGTTTCTTGTTTAATTTACATTGCTTTCTGCCTATCTGGGGAGATTCGTATTATAATATCCACTGAACTTTAATATGTACCATAATTATTTGGGTTGGGATAGGATAATATGGCTGTCACCTGTAGAATTAATGGAAGCAATTTCACAAAATATTAAACAGAAGACAGCCTGCTTAACAGATGAACTTAGTACATGCTCCTACATTTTTCCCCACAATTTTCTTTTTTTTAAGGAATAATGCTGCAAAGTTTTTTAGGCTGCCCTCTTTGTTTTGAAACAGTGATCACGTCTATGTAGCACAGACAAATATGAAAAGCCATCCAAAATGCACTAACCTGGAGATGAGAGATACAGGTATGAACACAACAACAGGAGAGTAAATCTGCCCATAGAGCTCTAATAAATGTGAGATTTATTCTGTTAAGATTCAATCTTTCGATTTAAAGGCAATATGGAAAACAAAGCTGAACCAGCATGCTCACATTTCCCGTGAGCCACTGAATTCTGAAACACTCCATTCTCAGCTTCTAACTGTGCCTCTGCTATTATTCCTTTCCAGTTTGTAAAACACACATTTCCATGACAGATCCAGTCATTTCAGTGAGCACAAAGCATCCTGCAGTTATTAACAGTGCTGCCAATTTCCCAGAGATTTAGTGCAGTGCCACCCTTGGAAAACAGGTAGGGAACAAAAGTGTGGCAATTACACTCACACAGACCTTTATGACCATTTCATCTCCACAGATATTTATCTAACTCTGTGTTATTATCTTCTGCACATGATGATGAACTGTAGCATTATATAGTACTTATTGACAATTTTAAGATGATAGTAAGTAAAATGTATTTATGTCTTTATTGCTGTTATTCACTGTATCTGTCATTATTAAGAAGACTTTTCTCAGTGCCTTGTAAAATGTTAAAGCAAGCAGTGTTTTGTTGTGCAGCAGATTCTCCTGCTCTCCTTTTTGCTGTGACACTGCAAGAGCTGTAGGGGATGCAGAGGGTAAAACAGACTCTGAGCTAAACTGGAGCTGCCTGGTCTGTCCCATTGTCCCTGTGGTGTGAACACAAAACCAAGGGAAGCCATTCAGACTCTTTAAAGACCTCGTCCCTCACTGAAATCAGTGGGTCCCCGGGCAGGTGAGGGCAGGTGTGTGCTCAGAACAAACCAGTACAGCCAGTACAAACCAGGGCTGCCCAGCACTGCAGCTGGATACAACAGCCTGAGGTTTCCCTTCCCTCATGGAAGGGGGATTAAGGGCTGAGAGATGAACATGGTTTAACCTCCCAGGAACCCGTTGGAAATGTGGGAATTTCTAGGCTAATCCAGTTTTACCCTGCTGCAGCAGAGCTTTCCTAATTGTCTGTTTACCTTTTCAATCCTGTTTTCATTCATCCTTTCACACACCTGCATTTCTACTCTCCTGCCTCTCCCCTCAGTGTCTTTTACTTCCCTGCTCTGGGATGGGGAAGGTGAGACATTCCCAAGGGTGTTGCTTGCATGCAGCTCCAGAATGTGACCCTCCCTCGCTTCTTTTCCACTTATCCCATCTGATTCTGCCTTATTTTTTTACTATCTCCCTTCCCAAGTCACATCTCTCTCTGGAGTCCAAATCTCTCTCACTTTTCTCCAAGTACAGATATCATTAGTCCACACTCCCTTTGCTCAAGGACAATCCCTGTGAGCTCCTGCCATGTCTTCCCTGAGGTGCCTCCTCTGCCCAGTCTCTCCCTGAGTTGCCTTCTCCAGCCCCTCTCAAGGGGAACCAGCAGGAAAATCCTCATCCCATGTCCTTTCCTCATCCCCAGGAGGGATGCAGGCTGCTGGCTGGGAGCTCCCAACAGCTCCAACACTTGATTGGATTGGTTCATCTACAGCCAGGAATCCATCAGGGTGTGCAACAACCAAATGAGGAGAGCAAGAGAGGCTCTGTCAGCCTCCCCCAGCATGGCCAGCACTGGGAGCAGCTTGGGATTTCAGTGTGGTCACCACTCTAAAGGCCAGGCTGCATGGTTGCCTCCTTTAGTGGAAAAGCCTCCACAAAGAGAGAAATAGAAACAGGAATTATACAGCACCACATGTCTGGAAACAGTCTCCAGATGGAGAATGAGGAAGAGAGGCACACTGATGTCTTCTCCTCTAAATTACTTGGAAATAATTAATATTTCCTCAATATTCAACCCCAGGAACAGGGGAGCTCCATGTGTAATGGGAAGGAGCAGCCTTCTGACCATCCCACAGGGCTGAGGGTTGGATGTTTGTGCTACCATGACCTGCTGATTATTCAGGGAAGGCAGAGATGAGAAATTCCAATGAGCTTTGCTGCATAAAAATATAATTGTAGCATATGTCACTATCGAGCTAATAAAAAAGGGAACATAGAGGAGAAAGTGCTTTAGCACAACACCCACTGGTGAGCTGTGCAAACCCTGGTGCCACAGGCCCCATGCAAAGTGCTCCTGGGAGCTGCTCTAACTGCACCTCCCAACCTTTGTTAGCCAGGATTAGCTGGAGGCTAAGCCAGCCCGTGCTGCAATCCCTCATTGACTTTGCTGTGTAGTCATTTTGCTGAATCCATGACACCTTGGTAAAACAATATTATCATCTGCTCTGATCGATTCATGGGTGAAGGCTCTCGTTTATAAATTTTGAGGATTTATCACCTTTTGCTGGTGGCTGAGATGGATCAGTGCTACAGCAGCACAGAGGAATGAAGGAGACATTAAACTGCTGCATTACTTACTCTTGAGGATATTAATTTGTATAAAGATAGTTCATTTACATATCTTGTAAACATGTAATGCTCTCTATTAAATTTATCACTGTAAATATCTAAATTAAATTTAATCCATTAAATTTTAAAAGTTATATTAAAAACCTCTGTAAATGGAGAGCATTGCCAATAAAAAGTAATAACATTGCCACATTTATATTGCTTGAAGTGCTTCAGAAGGATGAGCCTAATTGGAGCAATAGAAACATAACATCATTTTTCAGGGAGGAAGATTCTCCTAGAAGGGATATAAATATTGACAGTTCCATGGTGAAAAGGAAAGGCTTTGGGGGTTGGTTTTTACCTGTCTCCTATATAGCCAGCTGTACACAGGCATTTTCCTGTCACAGGGTCACAGTGTCCTCCGTTGTGGCATGGACAGTCCTGGCTGCAGTTAATTCCAAAGGTTCCAGCAGGACATGGCTGTGCACACACCAGCCCCTGGTAAGGTTGCAGAAAGAACAATATTTCAGTCAACATTCATAATGCAATAAATTTCTCTATGCAGCTTGGAATTTTATTGTCCTTCTTGCTAAAACTAGATGTAAGTGTAGCAGCAATATTTTATCTGCATAAGATGTGCTAAAGAGAGTCTGAAAACTCCACTACCACAGTAAATGCCTGCCTGGCCTGACTCCAGAAGGGATTTTTCTCACCACTGCACACTCATGGATAATTCTCTTCCTTGGATCTCCCCCACAAACAGCAGCTGTGCTTGCACTGCCCCTTGAACAGCCACATGAAGATGTGGGAGAAGTTAAAGGCAAACAGAGAAGTCAGAAGTGCAGACAGATAGTCCTGGGGTTTTTGTGAAATGGAGAGTCTGAAAAGCTGTGGGCTGTATGATGCACACAGAAGGTTTGGGAAGGGAGGAATTGTTGCAAAGGTTGCACTGGGAGGGGGGAGCTGTGCTGGTGTTGGTTGTGATGATGTCTCCTGTCCAGCCAGCCTCATTCATCCAACCCAACACAGCAGATGGAGACTCCTCTACTGCCCTTCACACCCTTCACTCTGCTCCCTCTGCCCTCTCCAGCCCCACATCCACCTCTCAAAGCAGCCCAGACTGGATGTGCCAGAGCTTTGGGAAAGCCATGGAGGGGCAGGATGGCGATGAGGATTAGGACAGCTGCAGGAAGCCCCCAGTGATGGCACAGAAGCAATGTGAGTCCCCACACGAGCACTGCAGTAGCCTTCTGGCCAGAAGAAGGAATTTTGCAGTGGAATATCTGCCTAATCCCTAAACAGTGACAGGATGCAGCATCCAGCATGCTCCCAGCTCCTTATCCCCCACCTTGGAGCCACATCTCAGTCCCTGACCTGCCTCAACTCCACATCTCATTTTATGCTCCCAGCCCTCTGCTTTCCTGCCTCTTTTTTCCAGTCTCTTCCAAATCCCTGTTGCAGCCTCCCTTTAATCCTCTCCTCCATGCAGACCCAACTGCTCATCTGTGAGATGTCCCCTGCTTCCCCTCCCTGCTTAACCAGCCCTGGGACTGAAACAAAGCCAGACTGTCCCTGCTGTGTCCCCTGGCACTGCCCACAAGTAAAGCAGCTCCCAGGTAATCCCTGCTCCAGCTGTTCAGCCCCAAGGCAGGGAATGCTCACCCTGGTGTGGGGTGGTTCCTTTGGAGAATTTACCTGCCAGACTCAGGTGGTTTCCCCAAGGTATCCCATAATATCCCTGCCAAGTATCAAGGCCTTACAAGGATTTCCCCAGGCTTTCTTAGAAGTTGTATGAATGTTTTTCTCCCCGTGAGCAAATATAAAGCCTGAGGCTGGCATCCAGCTGAGGAACTTCAGCCAAAACAAGTCTGGCAGTGCTGGGATCTGAAGTTGTGGTCCTATAATGGAAAATGTTTGGCATCTGCAGCAAGTGGTTCTGCTGCCAGTGCCACCACAGTGCCCAGTGTGAGACAGAAACAGTGTCTGGCCACAGGATTATTTGGGTTTAATTTCTCTGTTTCCCTAACCAAACCCCAGGGGCTCTGGGCTCTGAACAAAGCCTGTATCAGACACAACTTATTCAAAATATAAACCAGGAATATAATGGCTGCTTTCACTCCTCGGGGCTTGGGAAGTTTAGCTGTATCAACAGCCCCAAAGTGAAGAGGCTGCTCTTCAATGTCACCATAAAACAGATACTTTGAGCCTTTCCCAACCAGGGCTATATGGCTCCTTGGCTGTAAAACAGACAGGTTGGCCTCAGTTCAAGAACTTTCAGATTACAGTGTTAAAAACTGGTGTCTCTGGACTTGAGTAATACACAACACTATATATCTGAAAACCTAAGTGTCCATTTATCTTGATAATAAATACTTTCTCCCTTCATGTCTCAAAAGGAACAGGATTTCTATCAACAAATGATGAGAAAGCAATACTCTGGGATGCATCCCCCTGGAGCCAAGAGAATCTTTAGCTGTACTTTTTGCATTAATATGTACTAAGGGAATTCAAAACATCCCTCTCTAGAGGATCAAATGTCAGATCAACATTTCCTGCTGCTTATACACCTAATCAGCAAAGTTCACTCCATCAGCACCTTTTTTAAGGCCCTGATCTCATCAGCTTCTGCTTTTGACATTGTTTGCTGTATTTTGTAGGACAGAAAAGATTTTTTTCTGCTCCATTTTCTCAGACACCCCCACATTTAAAATACACAACAGAAAGAAAAATAGGCAAAAATAGACAAAAATACAAATGATGCTTCACAATGGCCAGAATCAATAAGAGAGAAGTGATGAGCAGAATGTGCTGTATTACCACAGCACCACGGTGCCTTGGGAAGGGGGTCTGGGGACAAACAGGGGGTGCTGCCAGTGACAAATGTTGTGTCACATCAGGAAATATTGCTGCTTTCCTGAGCACAGAGATCTAGTCCTTCAAAAAGGCTTCTTAGAAGTGTTGTAAATGCTAAATTAACTTCTCTCTCCACTTCCTGAGAGTGCTTGGAGAATTTAATCTTGCAAATGAGAAAGATGTATAGAATTAAACCTGTAAATTGTTAATGAGGCCCTAAAGCAGCCACCCACTAAACTCCACAGCCACAAAGGCACAGAGGTGGAAAAAGCCCAATATTATGGGATGCTGGAAGCCACGTTCTGTTGAGTGTTCAACAATCGAGGCTGTTGGCCACCATCCTCCTGGTGAAGAACCCATGGGGCAGTAAAATCCCACAGGACAGCGTCCATGGAACTCGTGCTGCTGGGAGACTCGGCACTGGTGGGAGGAAAAGATTACAAGTCATAAAAGAACCAGGCTTTGAAGATGGCAGATCCAAGGAAGAACCTCAGAACTCCAGGACTTCCTTATTTTAAAGTCACTGCCTCCCCTTCCCCATCCCACCAAACCCTAAGGGACCTGAGCTCCTGTTAATAAGCCAGCCCAGGAAAGGATAAAAGTTGCAGTTCATCCAGCAGCAATAAAGTCCAAGTGGATTTGCTCTTGTATAAATCTAGGGAGAATTCTTTCTTTCCAAAATGATAGTATATTCAATATCTATGTGCAGTCTCAAGCTTCAAAATCAGCAAGTAAAATTCCTGGTGTCACAGAAATCCATGGTGTGAAATAAAATGAATGCTGTCTAGCAATCCCATCTCGCCTTCTCGTTTACAGCCCCCTCATGTCTCACTTCCCAAACCATTCCAGCCACCAAGAGTTAAAAATATAGCATGAAAACACACTTTTTATCCCTCTCTGTACACTGAATTACCAGCTTTTCATTAAAACCCTGGAGAGACCCTTTATACTTAAAATCTCAACATTTACAAGCTGAGTGCTTTTACTTATAATTTCAGTTTCTTTCTGCAGAATACTTGATCTCTCTCTTCAATTTTCAGTTATGCTTGTTTCAAACATCAATTGTTAACTCTAGGGTTCCTCCAGGGACAGAGCAGCCAACAACACACTTTTTAGAAAAGTCTCTCTGGGCTCCTAAAAATGCTTAAAAGGAGCTCCAGGCTGTAAGGAATTGGGCAGGACAGGGCCAGAATACATCCACAGCTTCTGTGCAGTGCTCTGGTTCTTCTTAGGGTCTGTGCTGCATCCTAAAGGACATTTAAAAACTCCTGTTTTATTCTGATATTCTTATTTGTTTAGTGATGTTCTAACTTTGAAAAAGAAAACTTCTGATAAAATACAAGTAAGGAAGAATACAGCAAAACAACTCGGATCCTGAGAAATCTTGGCATGCAGGAGGAGAGATGAAAAAGGTAATATTTTTATATGAACCACTTTATTGATCACTTCTTAGGGGGTAGTGCCAGAATGAAAAGATAGGCCCTCAAAAATATGTGAATTGCTTTCCTAATGCTCCAGCACTCAAGGAAAGAGCCTTTTCTTTGCCACCACTTATTGCCAGGTGAGGGCAAGGGGCCATATTCATACTTCTGACAAGTTTTGCCTTTGTCATTTAAAATGGAATAACTTTATCACCATCCTTGCCAAGACTGGGGGTGTAAGAGAGATTCCAGCTCTCCAGTTAGAGATATTGTCCACCAAAACTTATGGACAGCAATGTTCTCACTGCTGATGTACAGCAACATTTCATAGCTGAGTTCAAAAGTACTCAAAGCAGTTGATGTAGAAATGGAAAGGAACATAAACTCTCTCTCAGCTTTTGTATGTTTGAACAGATAGAGGTCCCCACCTGAAGTCACAGTTGTGTGATGATCTGCAGGGCCTTCCATGTAAAAATAAAAATTCAGAGTACGTGCATGCTTTAAAATCCAGCAACTTTGCCAAGAGGCTAATTGTCAGATACAGGAAAAATGCCAAAAGTTTAGAACAGCTAAATGGGATGAAGGCCTGTGAGACTTGGCATGCCCCAAGAGAGTTCATTATTACATTATTGATAAAGTTGAGGACTTTGAAAATGCTTGGCCTTGCTTTCCTGACACAAAGGATTAAAGGTTAGGGCAGTTGTCTCTGACACAAGCAAATCTCTGCAATCAATGCCAGTGGTTCCTGAGCAAGGACACTGAAGCAGCCCCTGTGCCCTGGGCTCAGCTCTGCTGCCTGCCTGAGCCACGCACTCCCCCTGGCTTCTCCCTCTCCCCTGAAGGGTAACAGGACACTCTGTGCCTCTGACAATGCTGAGCTGGGCTTTGAGCTTTCTGTGCTGTGTGAGGGCACTGTCAAAGGCTGCAGGGAATATTGCAGGTAACTGCAACTCACAGACAAGTCTCTTGTCTCGTGGCACACTGTTGTTTTTGAACTCTGTGATGGCACCTACCAGTCAGAGAATCACAGAACTTCCAAGGTGATCACGTCCAAGCATTCCCCCTGCACTGCCAAGCCCACCACTAACCCCTGTCCCCATGTGCCACACCCACGTTTTTGGAACACTTCCAGGGAAGGTGGCAGGTCCCAAAGTGGTGGTGGCCTGTCTGTGCAGGTACTGTGCACACCCAGCAAATGTGGTGGGAATTGTTAGAGCCTGGCTGACACACACCAGCTGAGAGTGAAGCAGGAACATCCAACTGCAAAGCCTGTGAGTGAGGAGGAGCAGTACCCACCATCCATCCAGCAGGACAGGAGCACTCCCCAGTGATGTGGTGACAAACTCCCCCGTTCTGGCAGGGGCAGCGCAGCTCGCACTGGGCTCCGTGGCTGCCGGGGGGACACAGCTCCTCACAGCTTTGGGGACAGACAACAACAGAAAACAAAGAGATCATTTTCAAGAACTTACAGGAAACAGTAAATGAGGAAAACCCATAACACAGGTCATCATGGGAGTCCTCATGCAAATGATGAAACCTCGGTAAGGCTCAGCTGGCACTGCCAATTAGCTGAGATTCTCTTTATTTCTGCTGGGGTGGTTTATGTGCCATGGATCCAGCCCTGGAAGGCTGATGCATGTGTGTAACCTTTATGCATGTACCAAATCCCACCCATCTCAACAGGACAGCCCATAACCATTAAAATAGCCCAGGAAAATACGAGTTGCAGGATGAAGCCTTCAATGTGAATTATATGACATGACAATAAAAGAAGCTGCAAACAGAATAAAAGGATGGGATTAAAACGTTTGAAATTTCTCCAGTCACTACTGAATGTTAACATTTGCAGTGTATAATGGACTGGCAAGGACTCAACATCATTTAAAGGCTATTTAAGCTCATTGAGTGTCTCTCAGTACTCATGGGGGGCAACGTGAGGGTAATCCCTGCAAAACTCAGTGGCTCCTACATCTGCACACCAGAGCTTTTAGCATGGAGGTTCTGCAACTACAGCACGTTGTCCCCCTAACTGACTGTCCTCTGATGGGGATGTTCCTACAACATCAGGGGCTGGCCCTGCTGAGAGCTGACACACTGATGTCAAGGGGAGCACTCCCAAGAGTAAACAGAGTCCTTTGCAGTGAATGCTTCCATAACTGAGGTCACAAGTCTAGGAGGATATCAGGTACTAAATAAAATATTCACGAGGCCTATCACTTATTTATGAGGGTTAACTCTGTCCTTATTTTTTTACCTTCCCCTTCATGCAGGTCGACAAATAATAACAGACTGCAAAAGTATTAACTCACCTGCAATAGATCTCCAACCAAATTCAGGGACTAAATTCTCTTTTCCCCTTAAATAATTCTGAAAAACTTAATTACTTCTGAAGCTACTGAAAGATCTCTAATGAGAACTGATGATACACTGTGGGCAATTTTAAACAAGAAACTATTGCTTGCTGTCCTAAAATTAATATGCAGATTTTGTGAATCCTACTGGTAAACTTTCCGTGTGGTGGATGGGGATTTAGCTACATGATTCTCGTTAAAGTTAATAGGAGTCACACTGCTAAATCCCTGCTCTCTGTGCTTAAAACTTACCCCCTAGATACTAAGCTGATATAGTTAACAGCAATGCTTTCTCAGTTAGATTGAAAGTCAAATAAATTGAGGATGGAAAAGTCCCATTTGATGCTGCACTGGACTGCTAATGAGGAGAGAGTCCAACTGCTTATCAAAACTCTCCTGTAATTTGGATTGTATTCACATTCTGAAATTAGGAACAGGTAAACTTGCTGCACATGTTGGAAATAGAAATGTTTTTAAAGCTTATTTTAGCACTATATTTTATTTTAACAACATGGAATCATAGAACTCCGGAATGGTTTGGGTTGGAAGAGACATTGAAGCCAGATCCAACTCCCTGCCATGGGCAGGGACACATTCCACTATCCCAGGGTGTTTCAAACCCTGGCCTTGGACAATTTCAGGGATCCAGGGACAGCCAGAGCTTCTGTGGGCCCCCTGTGCCAGGGCCTCCCCACTCTCCCAGGGAGCAATTCCTTCCCAATATCCCATCCATCCCTGCCCTCGGGCAATTTTAAAGGCGCTCCCCTTTGTTCTCCCCCTACCCACCCTTGCCCTAAGTCCCTCTGCAGCTCTCTTGAAGGCTCCCTTCAGGGACGCAGGCATAACCAGCAGCAAGAGCAGAAATTCCTTTCATTCATTCTCTCTGAAATCCCATTCCCTGATTTCTACAAAGGCCAGCGTATACCAGGGTGTAAATCCAGCCAATTACTCGCGTTAAACGCGGCCGAACCAGGTGAGTTCAGGGGAGTCGCTCCGCGCTCCTGCCGCACTTACAACACGCCGGTGTAGCCGGGCGCGCAGTGGCACTCGCCGGTCTGGTGGTCGCAGGTGGCTCCGTGGTGGCACTGGCACTGGAAGTGGCAGCCCTTGCCGTAGGTGCCCGGCTCGCAGAGCTCCTCGCAGCGCCAGCCGCGGAAGCCGTCGGCGCACACGCAGGCGCCCGTGATGGGGTTGCAGAGCGCTTCGTTCTGGCACTGGCAGCGGTTGCTGCAGTGGGGACCCCAGTGCTCGCTGTCACAGCCTGCGAACACACACGGAGTTACCCACGGGGGACACGGGGCTGCCTCACCCCACAGCCCCTCATGCACCTCGGCCAGAGCCTTCAAAGGAAGCCCCGTTCCCAAACTGCCCCCCCCCCGACCCGGCTTTAGCATCTGCCCGCACCCTGCCCCAGCTTCAGCATCCCCCCTCAAAACCCAGCTTCGGCATCCCCTCCCAAACCCAGCTTCAGCATCCCCCCCAAACCCAGCTTCGACATCCCCTCCCAAACCCAGCTTCAGCATCCCCCCCAAACCCAGCTTCGACATCCCCTCCCAAACCCAGCTTCAGCATCCCCCCCAAACCCAGCTTCGACATCCCCTCCCAAACCCAGCTTCAGCATCCCCCCCAAACCCAGCTTCGACATCCCCTCCCAAACCCAGCTTCAGCATCCCCCCCCCCCAGACCGAGGTTCAGCACCTTCTCCCCAAATCCAGTTTCAATATCTTTCCCCCAGATCCAACTTCAGCATCTGCCCCCCCCTACCCAGCTTTAGGGTGCAAGGACACAACAGCATCACTGTTACACCTAAAGTTGAGAACTTGTTTAACACCTTATTGGATCAGGCCCGAAATCTTTTAATATCCTGTTTCTTAGTGCTTTTAGATTGCTGGAAGGAATGAATTTATAGTGGAATTAGATGCAGAGGGTCACATCCTGCCTGCAATGCACTTAATGGCAGGTGTTTCCAAGCAAATGCTGTCGATTTAATAATGTCATCAAATATTGTTTCTTTGTTATGTTCCCGTAAGATAACATACAAGATAATCGAAAGAAAACTTTCTCCTTGGGGTTGGGTTTATTTTCTGATTTATTTATTTATTTATTTACTTTTGTAGTCTGGACTAAATAGATGGGATGAAAGAAAATAACACTGGAGACAGGATGTCCTGAGGCTGCTCAGGCTCAGGGATGAAGATATGGAGTGAATATATCAGGTAATTCCTGTGCTAATAACAGCAACACAGAAGGATCCCAAGCCCTCTGGCCACTGATATGGAGAGGAGGTTCCCTATGGAATGCATTAAGGCACAGGGAGAACCCTTCATGTGACAATCCTACCTGATCCCTTCTCTTTTGATCCCATGTGGAGGATGGGAGAGGGAAGTCAGCCTTACAGAATAGTTTATCCTGATTTGCTATTGAAACAGAAACCCTACAACATCTCTTTGAGCTGCATGCATTGAACAGAGCTCATGCAAACACCTGAGGCCAAGGTTTCCTCAGCAAAAAGTCAGCAGGAAAAACAAGGATTTCTTCAGCAGCCCCACCCTCCACTCAGCATCCTTTCCCCATAGCTGTGGCAAGGATGAAGAAAATCCTCATCCTATCCCGAGCAGGCTGCTGGGAAGGACACAGTTACTGCTTTCCAGGTACAGCTGGCTGTGCTCAGAGCTGGTTTCAATTTCACCACCGCCCCTCCTGCTCGTGGTGAAATGCCACTGCCAGGCAGGGGAGGAGGGTGGAATCCCAGCAACAGGGCTGTCTTTACAAACTCTTTTATTTGCAAACATGGAAACTAATCCCAGGTGACACACGCTGCTTCTCAGCCCTGGATCTGTTTCCAGGATTAGTGAGGTAAATGTAAAGCTCACTTAAGCCTGGTGCTTTTGTCCTAGAAATTTCATAGCCCTCTCCTTCTACAGTACTTGGCTATAAACCCACACTAGAAAACTGCCTCTATCCATTAATTTTGGCAATATTTTTATTTATTGTCCTTCATTTTGAGAAGGAGGATACCCATTGGTCACTGTGAGGATATCCAGCAGAAAAGAAGACAGCTCTTAGTTAATTTGCACTGTTGATTACCAGTTTACAGATTTGTGTTTCTTGGGCAAGTGTTAAAAGCCGAAATAAACCCCCAGAAGACAATTCCAAGGTCTCCAAAAGATCTGCAGGGTGTTAGAGGCTGCAGGTGCAGATGTTTCATGTCCTGCAGGGAGCAGAGCACACCACGTACCCCTGTGCACCATCCCACTCGTGCCTCATCCCAAATCGTTTATTGCTTTGCCTCACTTCCCCCACAGCTGGAAACAGGGATGATAGTTCCTCTCTAACACCACTGGGAGCCAAGCAAACAAAATCTTACTCTTTATAAGACTTAAATTATTACTGAGAATCTGTGGGAAGAGATGATCTATCTTTATTTCACATAGACACTTGCTAAGGCTGTGTGAGCCTTCTGGGGCAGGGTGCAAAGCTGCTGGAGCTGCTGGAGTTCCCTGGCAATTTCCATTCCAGAAACACTAATTTGTTTTCTGCACAACTTGAACATCAAGGGATGCAGTTTTGTACCTTCATAAAAGGACACAAATCTGAACCACACAAGCACAGCTGATGTCCCTCAGCATAGGAAAGTGGAGTTCAGGAGTCAAACTGCACCCTGTGTGCTCTGGGAATTGATTCCTGCCTTCCCACACCTCAGAGCCCCAACTGCAGACTGGCTTGTTCTGAGCTGATACAGCTCCACTTGCAATTAATTTCCCCTAATATGAATAAATAACGGTCATTAGAACATATGATTCTATCATTGCTCTTTCATGTCTCAGGTGGGTGCTCCAAGCATCCGATTTGTCTGCTGGGTTTGTGTTTTTCACTTTGAAAGAAAGTGAAGGAAAAAGAAAACCATTTGTAGGGAGGGAAAACCATTTCCCATCATTAGTTCAAGCATCTTGTTTCAACTCTACCAAACCCAGCTCCTTTTCTGTAAATCCATCCTGTTTGGACACTGATTTACAATCAGTATTTGGTCACATGCTTGCTTCCTTCCTGTAGCAAATTTCACCCCACAATCTCACCAAAGAGAATTGAGTGAAATTTGTTAGCAATGTGTCAGTGTAAAATTTGGATAATGAAAGTTCATTCTTATCTGATTTTACACTGCAGTAACCTCACATGAAAATAAGATCTTTGCTGCTCAAAGTTTATCAGCTCCTGTTGGTTTTTCTTTTCCCCTTTCCTCGAAGTCCCATATTGCAGTGACTCCAATGACTGTGGAGTCATTTCACTGGAACATAATGTGACATTTGTATGATGATATAATGAGAACTCTGAGATCTGCACTCTGGGCACTTCTGTACCTTTACCAAGGTAGACACGGGGATGATAAGCTAAAATCCACTTGTACTTATTAATACAATTAACTCCACTGAGCTCATCAGGCTCACTCAGGTGTGAGACTACTTGAGTGTGTAACTGGCTACAGGACTGAGATCCAGTAGCTCCTGGTAGAAAATTATAAAACAGAAGAAACAAAAGACTTCAGGAACCAAAAGGTATTTTTTCTCTATACACCAGTGTGGCTAATCCTGGATCGTGTGACAGTGACTGCAGGTTCTGGGACAGACACAGAGAGCAGAGCAGGCTCAGAGCCACGGGATCCTGCTGCACTTTGGGATCATCAACAAGTTCTCCCATGGGCAAGGAGAGACCATTTTAAACCCCAGCCCCAGCCTAGCAAAGTCTGATCCTGCTCTTGTTGATTGCCTCAGTGTGTTACTGTAATAGAGATAAATAATAACAGCAACAACATGTGAACAGAGAGCTGATTAAAGCTCACACGAGCGCTCCGCTGTAAATGCAGATGCCATTAAAAATGTCAAAATGATACAGAGACTTTAACCAGACCATCAATAAGGAAAGCAACCTGAGAGGGGTGATGTCAGGGAGGTACAAATGCTTCCCTTAACTGCATGTGGGGATGTCAATACCGTGAGGGATGAGTCTGAAGCAGCCCCTGCTCTCCTGGGAGATGCTACGTTGAAGGGAGCTGCCATATTTCAGGTATGTGCCCACATTCCCCGGTAAATGTGCTAACTTCCTCACTTTTTCACCTTTGGAAATATGGCTGGAGATGAGCTGTCACCAGTAAAATGAATGTGGCCCTGTAAGGGATGAGGCTGGTGCCTAAGCACAATCACACTGGTGTGCACAGGGAAGGGAATCTCCCCTCAGAGCAGCACCAAGGGTTTTCCTCCTATTGTCATCCCCACTCCCACACTGAAACCTCAATTCCTTCCCCAAGTGAGGGCTAATTCCTGCAGGCTCTGCAAATAGAATCATCGAATCCTAGAATTTTTAAGATTGGAAAAGACTTCCAAGATCACCAAGTCCAACTTTCAACTGAACACCCCCGTGCCTACTAAACCATAGCATGAAGTGTCACATCTGCTTGGTTTTGAACCCTACCAGGGATGGTGACTCCACCACTTCCCTGGGGAGCCTGTTCCAGTGCTTAAGCACTCCTTCAGTGAAGAAATGTTTCTGCATGGCATCGTGTTAGCAGTTGTGCCCAGCTAAATACACGTGAGGACACACGGGAAGTGCCACTCAGCTCCCCAAGGGCTGATTTTCCCTGTAGGAATGATTAGGGAATCGCTGTGCTCTGGGTCAATAGAGACACCCAGCACCCGGTGCAGCAGCACAAGTCAGACACAATGAAGCAAACACAGGAGTCTGAAAAGGTAACAGATGAATAAAAGGACTCCCAAGGAAAGGGTGACATTTATAGAGTGACTTATCCCAACGAGAGAGAGTCAAAAGTGCTATTGCAGAGCTTTTCCATCACTGCACACACACTATTAATATGGAAACAGCACCTTTTATCACAGCAGCACCACAAGCTGTGGTTTCAAGGTCTGAGTTTATTCTGTTCTCATCAGCATCAGCCCCCCTGTGGCTCTTTTATAGCCAGGGACCAGTTCTGTATTGCAGGTCTGCAGTCAGTGGGATGTTCACAAACATCCTACAAAAGGCACAGCTGAAAAAACCCCAGGGTCTGATTTCCTTGGCCCAAGGACTCACAACCATATTGGGCTGATGGGGAACTTCAATTAATCCACACTTTAAAGAAGCTTTCTACAAATTTGCTAAAGCATAGAACGTGCTTGTATTCAATAATCAATATTCTGGAATATTTCCAAATTCAGTTTGTAATGTTTAAATGAGATACTAGCCCTTAAAAATGCAAACAGGAAATAAAAT